ATAAAATATTTTAATATATTTGCATTATTTTATCCACTTCAGAAATATCTCTAAGATTTCTGTAATTAGAATAAGATTTTTTCCACTTTACAGTAATGGATTGTTATTAAAATAATATAAAAACGCATTTATTGTTTTTATTATTTATTGAATTTTTCTTAAGTTATGAAATATGATGTCATTTTCAGCACAAATTCTAAAGAAAAACGAAGAAATTATATTTTGCATGAACAAAATTTATTTATTTTTTCAGCATTATTTTCATGACAATTAAATATTTCTTTACAATTGTAAAAGAAATGCAAATATAATACATCCAAAAAATGTAATTGGCTTATATTTATTCCAAATATAATTCGTTTTATAAATAATTATAGTTTTTTTTTTCTTCCCAATTATAGGGTGAAGTGTGACCTGGACATGTTCTTGTGAGATTCATCCTATAAAAGAGTGAGATGTAACTAACACACACACACACACACACACACACACACTCTCTCTCTTCCATGCACAAACATGCACATGGTGCTTATATATGATCATGCAAAAACAGACATGCTTACATACATGTCTCTCTCTCTCACACGCACGCACACACACCTCACTCATCTGCACAAGCTGTAAATATATCTTTCTCTGTACTTATAATTCTCTAAATATTTAAGGATAACACATTCAAAAAATAAATAACCACAGTTTAGGCTTTTCTATTGCAAGATAGTGATTCATTTTTCTTTTAAAACTCTGTATGTGCAAGTTCGGTGCAACGTTGAATCTTCTTGCTCTAAAAAACAAAAACTAAGTAAGTTACATTCAATACTGGAAACTTCTTCCCCTGACGGAGTCAAAAACGCTCGCTGAGAGTCCCACATTCCTCAGTCTTCGCTTCGAGGTCAGCAAACGGATCCCGAAATATCCAAACACAACCAAGATTGCACTTCAAGTATTCAAATGAAAAGTCTCGTGTGTGTTGTGATTCACGCCGGTAATGCCAACACTGACCGAGACAGGTGCAGCTATTGCAACGCTGTTTGATTTGTCAGAAACTTGATGGTTTTTGGTTTTAACTTCAATAAACATTCCAGAAATAAAATATATTTATATATATATATATATATATATATATATATATAGCAACGTTGCTTGATTTGTCAGAAACTTGGTTTTCTCCTTCAAGTTTGGTTTTACTTCAATAAACATTCCAGAAAATAAAATATATATATATATCAGCTTATCTTAAGATTTTAATACTCTGCGCAGGTTAAAGCCAGTACAAATGTGCCTCAATAAAACGTCTTTTAACTGGTCTGGTAAACTCTCCAGCCGACAAGACAGGAAGTAGAATAGTGTCCAGTTACAAATGTCTCAAAAAGTGTCCAGTCACAATGTCTCAAAAATCCACTTAAGATCAGATGGAGTGAAAACTAAAACTCAATCAATCAATCACAGTCCGGCACAATCATCCTCAGTGTCAGAAAACCGTCGAGTGCAGCTGAGACCCTGAAAAAAGGGCCCCGTTTGAGCCAAGATGGCGGAGATGAGTCCGTTCAGGCAGACGAGAGCACATCTCTCTCCACCAAAAACATGCAGCAACCAGGTGCTAATGTAAACAGACCGCTAGTGCGAGTGTCAAGAACCCAATCCTCCTCGTTCAGAGTGCTCAGAAAGTGCCGTGGACCTGAGCTGAAGAAAATCACCATTGCAACTTGGAAGTCTGTCAGTGTAAGAAAGGTTTGGTATCTGCGGGAACACTCTGATGCAGCATTGAGATTATTACTCGCTCTCAGCATTGCTTTCGGCCTTGCGTGGGCCGTCTTAGGAAACACGTGAACGAAGGGAAACGTGGAAAACTACGAGGGAGACTCGCCTCTCGCACCAAACGTATTAAAGCACTTCAGTACGTCAGTGAAAAGAGGCACTGACGCGCTAATGACCAAAGTCACGCTCTCCCGGGTGAATCTCATGAAGATGCTCAAGAAACCTCTGTCATTTATTACCTTATAATCAATAGAAAGACTTGAGAAACTATGCTTTACGTGAAGAAACATTTTGGGTATTATTTGCATGACAATTAAACATTTATCCACAACTGTAATGCAAAAAAGCTTATTAAAATATATACACATCTAACTAATAATATAGGCTACACACACACACTGCAATTTCAATTTATAGCTGATTGAATATATATTTAAATATTTAAACGATTTTTAAATGAAATATTTAAATGTAAAAACATTTATATTCACCAGAAATAACTGTGACTAATAAGCTTTTCTTCTAATATCCTTCATTTTCTGCAAATGCAAAGAGAATTTTGCATTTTTCTTGACATATAAAAATGACAAATGTCATTTGTCATTTTTCACCTCCATAGTTTTTTTTGTTTTTTTTAAATTAAAGAAATAATAAATAAAAATTTTCATGAAGAAAATGAAGGAACCATTTATTTTTTGGGGCATTTAATGAAAATAATTGTCATTATTTTCATGACAATTAAAAATGTATTCACAACTGTAATGCAATAAAAACATGCATTTTTTAAATGTATGTATATTACATAATAATATATTTTATACAGTTTGTAAAGTACAATGTGATTGTATTCTATAATGGTAGTATTGTTTTACTGCTTTTAATTTATGCTAATTAAAAAAAAAATTCCTAGATCATATGACCTACACATTTCCTATTGTTTATGATTATAGACTTTATTTATAGGCATTGCAATTTCACTTTCTAGCTGATTAAATATATTTACATTTTTATTAAATGTTTCATTTATAAAAAAATCACTTCAGAAATATGGAGTTTGTATCTAATATGAATACAATTTTCATAGCAATGATTGTCATGAAAATAATATCGAAATTCAGTTCCAAAAAAATCCATCATTTTCTGCAAATGCAAATAGAATTTCTTATATTTTCTGTGAGATATGAAATATGACATTTATTCGTGAGATTCACCCTTTCACCTGCATAACACGACTAAAATAATGCCTTCATAGTGAAACAGATGTTATTATTGCACTGGGCAACTTTTGGTAATCATAATGTCCTCTGTTAAATAAAAATAGGAAAAGATAAAGTTTTTGAGCCATTAACTTATATTAAAGATTCTCTACATTAGATTTGTTTAGGATGAGCTTCGAATGGAAGTGTGCAAGGGAAGTGCATGTGGTTGAGAGCGAGAGAGATCAAGTGCAGCCTCTCTCTCTCTCTCCTCTGAAGCGTTCAGCCCAGAGTCACCCTCTGGTGGCCCTGAGATGCAGCCCTGAGACCCACAACACCAGGCCAAACACGGACAAACCAACAAAAACAAGACAACAGTGCCTTCCGTCCACCCGATCGGTTCAGTGTGTGTAGAAACACGTGGGGAATGTTATGCCGAGTTCACACTGCATGATTTTCAAAGTTGTCAAATCACTGTTTTTTTTTTCACATTGCATGACTATCTGTGGTAGTATTAAGTTCCTGCTGTGTTCACATCGCACGATGGATCGGTTACAAACTGCATGACTTTACAATAGAAAGAATCGCCGACAACTCTGTCTGGTCCGCAAACTACGTTTTAAAAAACTCCTCCCTGCCCTGTATCTTGCGCTCTCATTGGCTGTAGGTCATCGGCGATGTATTTTTCAGTCAGAACTCATTTCACACAGCAGGATTTTGAATTGCCGGCAGATCTAGATATTTACACTCTTAAAAATAAAGGTGCTTCACGATGCCATAGAAGAACCTTTTTTGTCTAAATGGTTCCATAAAGAAGCTTCAACATCTGAAGAACCTTTCTGTTTCACAAAAGCTTCTTTGTGGCGAAAGAAAGTTCTTCAGATTATAAAAATGTAAGAAAGAGATGGTTCTTTAAAGAACCTTTGACTGAATGGTTCTTTGTGGAACCAAAAATGGTTCTTCTATGGCATCGCTGTAAAGAACCTTTTAAGCACCTTTATTTTTAAGCGTGCATAGGGCTGCACGATAAATCGGAATGAAATCGCAATAAGGCAAAAGCTGTGACTGTCATGTGCATCTTATCAGTGAAGCACGCTTCTGTGATCAGTAATAAATCTCCATCCAAAGGCCAGAGGGCGCTCTTGCGCTGAAACTCCAAATACGCCCGTAGAAGAAATCCAGGAAATCCCTATAGCAGTTGACAAGTCGTAATTACGACGTCAGGTGCGTTCAAGTCAGTTTAGTCGGCACAAGATGGCGGTGTACCTTCTTTTAATAAATTACAAGAAAATACAACAGGGTCTGCATTTTTTTTACTTGGATTTCATTAACTAGCTGCGTAACAAGAACATGACCAATTTAAGTTTATAGGACAACTAAACTATCAATTTAAACAAACATTTACCGTCAACTACAGACGTTGCATCCATCAATTCCGCCATGTTTCTCATTGACACGCCCCCAACTCGGAAACTCGGGGCTTAAAGAAAATTTTGATTTTCCCACTCGTAGTAACGACTTTGTGGTGGCATTCATGTGCGTTCAACTCGTAAATACGATCTATCCGACTTGACTAGAATGCACCATAACACAATATATGATTTATCGGAGTGCTTATTAGAATTATTATTATAATTTTCATTATAATATTGTATATAATAATGCAATGCCTTTATCACTGCTTAGAATACTATGAAATCTGTTGCGTGCCTTATTGTGTGTAAGAAGCCACATCATCTCACAGAAGGATTTATTTCAAACATTCGACTGACGTTATGAAGTGAGTTTGGAGTAAAAACGTGTTATTAAATGTGGTATTTTCACATGCTTTCAGACGGAGCAGCATTTACTACACAGAGCAATAGTTCACTGAGAAGCTACGCAAACAGCTTTCATTTTCGTGATTGACAACTTTGAATTCATAATCGCGCGATTAAATCATCTGCGGTAATGAACGCGGTTTTGCGTAGCTTGTCAGTGAACTACGGTTCTGTGTAGTAAATGCTGCTCCATCTGAAAGCAGGTGATGGAGATTTACTACTAATCACAGAACCGGCTTTACTGACGAGATGCGCATGACTATCGCATTCGATTAATCTTGCAGCCCTAGGGTAGCATGTTAAATATTTCACGGGCGTCTGCGATTCTCTGAGTGCATCTTTGATAATTGTCACTCACATGAACGAGCACCGATTTGCCTCCGATTTCGGGCATTCGTTGGCGATTTCGCAAAACCTGTCGGCGAGTGAAAGTCGGGGCTAAAATGGTGCAGTGTGAACACGGCATTAGATGTTCGCCGTCATCTGATCACTTTCACAGCGTGGATTCGCACTCCACTTTGCAGGTGGTGGTGGCGGCGCCTTTGCGCGTGAGCTTGAGGAAGCTGGGCTTCTCGGTCATGCCGTTGTTATTGGGGGACGTCAGCGCCCGCGTCTGCTCCGCTTCTCCGCTGGAGCCCGGGTAGATGACGAGGAAGCAGGCGGATAGGAAGCCCAGGAAGGAGCCGCCGGAGGCCAGCATGGGAATGACACGCACACTGCCCACTGCGTCCACCACCGCGCCCAGCGCCGATGCCACCAGGATCTGAGAGATGTACACCTGACACGACAGGATGGCGCAGTCGATGCCGAAACCTCGCTTGGAGTTGCCGGGGCTGTGCTGGACGTACTGCAAACAGCAAGAACACATCGGTCGCATATCAGTGTCCAATAATTCTGCTCTCTATCCTATGAGATCTCAGTCCAGAAATCTGTTTAAGACCTATCAAGAGCATTAACAATAAAACAATACCACAATGAGTACTGTGGCAACCGTATATAAATAACAACGCGTGAGGAAACTGCAACATTTTCACTGTTATTGAAATATTGGTCTGCCAAAACTTACCATGAGTTGCTCTCAGAAGGCTGTTTATTTCGAGACAAGCAGCATAAAAAAAATGTATTACACTATGAAACCAATTCGCTAAAATGAATCCGAAAGACATTTTCATAACAATTAATCACTACTTAAAAAAAAAATTTATATTTATTTTTTTGGAATATTTAGATATTAAAAATATATCTACTGTAACATTACTGTAATATTTTTTATATAATCTGTAAAGTACAATTAAATGTATGCATCACTGTTGAATTTGTTTTAATTTAGACATATTTAAATGGACAATTCCTAGACCTTGTGAGCAAAGAATATTCATATTTCCAATTGTTTATGATTACAGGACACAGACTTTTTATATACAGTGGGTACGGAAAGTATTCAGACCTCCTTAAATGATTCACTCTTTGTTATATTGCAGTCATTTGCTAAAATCATTTAAGTAATTTTTTTTCCTCATTAATGTACACACAGCACCCCATATTGACAGAAAAACACAGAATTGTTGACATTTTTGCAGATTTATTAAAAAAGAAAAACTGAAATATCACATGGTCCTAAGTATTCAGACCCTTTGCTGTGACACTCATATATTTAACTCAGGTGCTGTCCATTTCTTCTGATCATCCTTGAGATGGTTCTACACCTTCATTTGAGTCCAGCTGTGTTTGATTATACTGATTGGACTTGATTAGGAAAGCCACACACCTGTCTATATAAGACCTTACAGCTCACAGTGCATGTCAGAGCAAATGAGAATCATGAGGTCAAAGGAACTGCCTGAAGAGCTCAGAGACAGAATTGTGGCAAAGCACA